TGGCAAGGGATGTAAATAAATTGATTCATTAAGGGTAATATAGGCAAAGCAAGTCTTAAACTCACTGTGGAGACGATACGTAGGACTTTCGACCTCACAATTATAAGTATAGATTAAAGAGAAAAAGAAATCCTTACCAATTCTTTCGTGAATAACAAACACACTGAAGGTCCAACCAATGATTTATTTATTCATGATACAGGGAGAGAGGACTTTTCTTTTGTCTTACTCTCTGAATTCCAACTCCCCCAATGTGAACGACACGAACTGAAGAATTCATTACACGAACTTAATTAGTACTAGTTTATTCATGATATGGCGAGCGTAGACTTTTACTTTGTCTTCTTCGCTTCTCTCTCTCTCAAGAATTCATTAAACGAAGATAATGGAAGATCCACTTTTACTGGTAGACGGTCAGTCCATCACCGCGAATCCAAAGCCGACGCCGACATGGTGGACGGACTTCACGGCGGAGCTGAAGAACGTCAGTCGCATGGCGGCGCCGTTGGCCACCGTGACCGTTTCTCAGTATCTATTGCCTGTCATCTCGATCATGGTCGCCGGCCACCGCGGCGAGCTCCAGCTTTCCGGCGTCGCTCTTGCCACCTCTTTCGCAAACGTCACCGGTTTCAGCATCATGGTAATAAACTATCCTCCAATTTTGAAGGATCCAAACCGAAAGTCAAAATCTTGAAAACGTTACAATTTGTTTGTGTAGTATGGATTAGCTGGTGCACTTGAAACTCTGTGTGGCCAAGCTTTTGGTGCAAAACAATATGCCAAAATCGGAACTTTCACTTACTCTGCAATTGTTTCCAACGTACCCATTTGTTTACTCATATCGATTCTCTGGATTTATGTGGACCAACTCTTGATTTTAATCGGACAAGACCCTGACATCTCTGGAGTAGCTGGTTCCTACGCGGTCTGGCTCATACCGGCTTTGTTAGCTCAAGCGGTTCAACAACCGTTGACTCGGTTTCTCCAGACTCAGGGTTTTGTTCTACCTCTTCTCTACTGTTCCTTAACTACACTTTTGTTCCATATACTCCTTTGCTGGACTCTGGTCTACACGTTTGGCCTCGGAAGCAATGGAGCCGCCTTGGCGATTTGTCTGTCTTACTGGTTTAATGTCTTGATTATTGCTTGCTATGTGAGATTCTCTAGCTTCTTCGAGGAGACTCGCCGCTTTATAGCTGATGATTTTGTGTCGGGCGTCAAGCAGTATTTCCTTTACGGTATACCATCAGCTGCAATGAGTTGGTAAAAGATTCCTCTTCTTTATCACTGGTACATGCTGCTTCTTTTTGCTTGATTTTATTTGATTGTTTTCTTCTTCTATATGCAGCTTAGAATGGTGGTGTTTTGAGCTCCTTGTATTGGCCTCAGGACTCCTCCCTAACCCGAAACTCGAGACCTCTGTTCTTTCAGTTTGGTAATCTGTGTTTCTCTTTCGATTTTTCTCTCTTTCTTTATGAGGAGGAACCATCTCAAATATATCAGTTTAGATCAACAGATTGGAATCGATGCAAACTACTTTTCACTCTTTATTGATGAGGAAACAAAATTTCAATCTAATTCCTTTTGACTGTTGTTGTTGTTGTGTTCATGACAGTCTTACAACAGGATCTCTCCACTATGTCATTCCAATGGGTATCGCGGCTGCTGGAAGGTATGCTTTCGATAAACCATCTCGATGTTTGTTATGGAATATGCAGATTAGTCACACTAGTCGTCTCTGTTTTACTTTGACAGTACAAGGATTTCAAACGAATTGGGAGCCGGGAATCCTGAGGTCGCAAAGCTGGCAGTGTTTGCCGGTGTTTTCCTTTGGTTCATAGAGGCTACCATTTGTTGCACACTTCTCTTCATTTTCAGGGATGTATTTGGCTACGCCTTCAGCAACAGCAAAGAAGTTGTAGACTATGTCACAGAGCTATCTCCTTTGCTCTGCCTCTCATTTATCGTCGATGGATTTGCTGCAGTGCTTGGTGGTAATAACATAAACCCTATCAACTAGCAAACGAACTAAAAGGAAACCGATTTTACGACTCAAAGTGTGTTTTACATGCTTGGCTTTTTTGAAAAAGGGGTTGCTAGAGGAAGTGGGTGGCAACATATTGGAGCTTGGGCAAATGTGGTGGCTTACTATTTCATCGGGGCTCCGGTTGGACTTTTCTTAGGATTTTGGTGTCACATGAACGGCAAAGGGCTATGGATCGGTGTGGTGATTGGGTCTCTGTCCCAAGGCGTCATATTGGCTATAGTCACTGCTTGCATGAGTTGGAACGAGCAGGTGAATAGCAATCACTTTAATTTTTGGACACTTTATGACTCTTTGTTTTCTCTACTGAATATTTGCTTGTTGCCATCTGAAAATTGCAGGCAGCAAAGGCAAGAAAGAGGATTGTTGTAGGGACTTCTTCGTTTGGCAATGAATCTGCTTGAATGGTTCTTTATTTATTTGTTAGACAAGTCACAGAGATTGAAGGCCTGGCCAAGGAGCCGAACCGTATTGGGAGAATCCAAACCGACCCAGATTGTCTTAAATATTCGAATGGTTTCCTCTTTTAAAAAACACTTGATTTTTTTGTTATGATGTATAAAGTTTTGAAACCGAACCAAATGACATGCCTCTGAAAACATTTGTAACTTGGCTTTTAAAATGAGCCAATACTACAACTCTAAAAGAACATGAAGTGACTTGAAATAGAATCAAAGAAATCTTGGCTCAGAATATACAAATCTTTTGTGTGAAACAGAGACGTTCATGTAAAGTATTAAACAAGAATCAACCACTGGCTGAACATTGTAACAGAGTGAAATCAGAGTAAAAGCTGAAATATTGCAGTCTCTATTCTACAAAAGTCGATTCCAATCAAATGCTTAACATCTACAGATATATAACTCTAGAGTAATTCATGATTACTTGGAACAGAAGAGGAGGCGAGACCCAGACCTCAATGGGCAGATCAGACATTTAGGTTTCCAAAACATTAAAGCATAGAATCAATGATCCAGGAATAGTTTAATATATAAATCACACACCTTCTCACTAATTTATACTGTTTGCTGAACTATTGGGAGATCCATGAGATCGAAGATATATCTAGAAGAATATTGGAGAATAGGAAATCTATCATTATTACTAATTTATATTATTTACATATTAGTTTAGGAAACTAGGTCATTCAATCTCTATATATTCTATGCACGTTATTTCCATGAGAGTCTATTCTAAATTCTTCCTAAACACTTTGTGTTCTTACATGAACAATGTGATAGTGTAGGTTATATCAAATCAAGACCAGAGAAAATGTTGATATTGACATATTTCTTCTACAATGCCTCTGCAAATGTTCTTTAGCTGAACCAGTTGTAAATCCAGCAAGACCGAGTTTTGTAAACAGAGAGAAAATCGATTGTGTTCATGTTTGGGTAATGGCTGTTTTTTAATTCTTATGTTCTGTAGTGCAATTGATTAGGAACAAAATAGAATGGTGGGTTATGAGGCTTTTGAATTACCAAAATAAACTGGTACATTTCAATATTAACGAGTTAACTTCTTTATAGTGAAAAGAGAAGCAATGATTTTATTTGGTTGAAAGAAACGAAATATTAGAGAAGAATAGATTGAAAGAGAGTAAATGTTTTTATTTCATTACACGCACTGGAAACAACGTACACATCCCCCATCTCATTGAAACATATGATCAAACAGGTGATGCCATAAAATATTGGTAGGCTTTAACCGCTCCTACAACGGCAGCAGCCACAACCACCACGGCAGCCACACCCTCAACGACGGTCTTCCTCCATAGTCTTTGCCTTAATGAGCCAAACTTGCTATGAAATTCACTTGCACACTTTGATATATTACTCGTATCATCGTCCGCTTTATGGTCTCGAGCTTCTGATGTGTTTCCCTTAGAAGCCACTGAAGGAGCCGCCGCTAAAGGGCTCGTCTTTGGCATGGTCACGTACAAAACTCCCTTTGAGAACTTTGCGCGAATCTCATTTCTTCTGCAGTTTTTCGCAACTTTGGTTTCTTTGCTGAACTTGATTGATGTTGTTTGGTCCACAGGACAGCATCCTGTTATTGTGAGTAAACCATTGTTGTTGATCTGTATTTTAATATGCTCTTTCTTCACACCTATACAAACACCAATTCCCTTTTTCAATGATGAAACATAGTATAATCTTATGTCTAAACTTTGGTTAGTGGTTTTAACTTAATTGGAAATTATGCAAAATCATGTATTATATCGGATCACTGATTTAAAAAATTTTGTCAATAGTAATTTTGTTTTTAAAGACTTGTTCTTTTTTTTTTTTCATCTGAATTTAAAATATATACCAAAGAAATAATTACACATTTTACCAAAAAAGTGGCTGCTGCCAAGTTATAGAAATTTAAGACAGTGCACTCAAATCTGATGTTATTTGTTTAATGATTTTTAATTGGATTTTAATTTGAAGTTAAAATTTTGAATGCTCAAATGTGAGGGTAAACCTTGTTATTTTTTTGCTAAGAACCTTGTTATTTAAAAAAAAAAAAAACGATCAGAATTTCTATATATATGAGTATGAACCGTTACATATAATCTATTGGTTTTTTTTTTATCAAAAAAAAGAAGTATTATACATGATGTTTTGTTTCTACCATCGAAAAGATTCTTTGCTTTTGTTAGTGAGTTAAGAAATGGATATTTTGATAGTGTTAATATCAAACAATAATCTTCTTCAATTATTTTCTTAAGAATTCGTCATTAAAATCAGGCTAAGACGTTGTAAACCAAGGAAAGAAATGTTATTATTTATGGTTTGTTATAAATTTGTAGTAATGATGAGGGAACAACAAATATACCTGGCTTGATGAAACAAAAAATAGTAAAATATCAATGTACCTGGAGGAAGATGTAGCTCAACAATGTCGATGTCTTCCGTTCTCCTCCATCGACAAAAGGGTTCGATTTCCTCGTAAAAGTGCGTTTGTCCACCTTCCATAATTACTGCCATTTGTTTAAAAATGTCAAAGAACCGAACAAAAATATTGCAGAAAATCTCTCTTATTTCGAATTTGGTTAAAGAAACTATTGAAGGATTGGTGGTTGTGAAGATGGCCCATCTAGTTGCTTCTGTTTATATCCTCTGTTCTGTGAAAGGAGTCCGGGTTTCCTATGCACTGAATGATTCGTTTACTACTCATAAAGATTTGCTTTATCATATAAAACTTTAATTCTGTCTTTGAAGTTTATATATTTGGTTGTTTCTTGTGAAATGGGTGTTTCTTCACATGCACAAATCTTCGTATGTGGTTCCATAGAA